TTCACAATAGCTTCAAGCTGAATAACATGATCTTCAGCTCTCCTTTTCTGCATCTTGAGATTATCGTAAGCCTTCTGAACATTACCAAGCTGGCGATCCTTCGAGCGAACAGTCACTTCGTAGTCGATGGTGAGCTTGTTGAGCAACGAAAAGAACTGCAAAAAAAAAGGAATCGCAAAAAGCAAGTTAGAAAAATAGAAATAACGAACCAAGTAAAATCACTGTATTGCAATAGTAGTCACGAAGTCTTACCGTGATACAATGAAAGGCCGTAATTGAATAAGAATCTTCCTTCGACATCTCTCCTGGAGGCGGAAACATAGTGCACGGGGAGACGATCTTGGACAAATGCAACACCGCCATCGCAGCATCACCAAAAGGAATAATCGAAGTCGTCACCGCACCGTCACTTCGAAGACTCGAATTGTGCCTTGATCTGTTCTGGTCATCGCCATCAGCAGCACCTCTCTCCTTGTCTTCACGAGAATGCTTACAACTTGCCTCCACGCCATCATCTCTCCTCCTCATGTCATCATGACGCCGCTGCGATGACTCAGGTCGACGATCGACGACAGTAGTAACATTTCGCTCTAACACCAAATGACACAGCTTAGGGCCAGGGGTAGCATTCGTACCAGCTCTAGGAACCGATGCCAATGGCCTAGCTTGCTCCGACACCCTCGCGTTAGACTCCATCCCGGCCTCCATGGCTCTCCTCTCGCGAGGTGATGGTTTCTTCATGTTGTCTGACATCTCTGATGAAGAATTCAACGAAGTGATTCCAAAGCAAAGAGCTAGCGTTTCTTTGACTCTGAGCAAAGAAAAATCCTCCTTCCAGCTACACTTCTCAGCAGCGAGTTCAGCGTGGAGGTCAAATAAGTCTGCCGATAGCTTCGAGATGCGGCTCAAAACTGCAAAACAACAAACAAGAGGAAGAGTTAGAATCACCAATTTAAGAAGAGTAGACAAGAGAGACTGCGCAGACAAAAAAATATATCTAAGTCAAAAAGCAGTAGCGGGGCAGGATCGGCTACCGCGAAACCCCCATCTTTCTCGAATTATGTCAAGGTGATCGCCGCCAACTGAAGCTTCATTGATTTTCACGAAGAAGAACTTCTCCGCCCAAAAAAGATCTCTGTTGGGAAGATCCACAATAACTTGGAAATCCGGCTTTCCCTTGAGATGATAACAGGGTTTTCCCTTGGAACCAATCTTTTAAGCCTTAAGAAACTCAACAGATGATCAGCCCCGACTTCGCTGTCACATTCATAGCCGCGGACCATAAGCCCAATCAAATGGCGCATCCCGCGAGGCGTGAGCTGAGCATAGGCCAGATTGATCCTCCACAAGAAGTCAAGAATCGCGCTAGAGATCAGAAACCACATTAAACACGCATTCGTATAAAGTGAAGTAACCCTTTGGCAGGTGGTGAGCCCATGCATCTGAGTGAGGAACAACTAGCTCAACCCCGTTTGGAACATCGATGAGATCAATAAGGGAATCTAAGGATTTCGAAGTCGACGTAGTAGACCCTGGCATATCAGGTTCTTTTCGTCGTGACCTCTGTCTTTTGGAAGCCGGCGAAGCCACAGTCTCCTTGTCAACCTGTTCAACCACGACCAAGGCATTGGAGGAGGTCGGTCTCGTCAAACTAGAAGTGTCAGATTTCGTAGAACCATCTAAGTCTGAAGTAGTCTCCATGCTGTCTTTGTCGCGCGAAGGGTCAAGCTGCGAGTCCATAGAGTCGAAAACCATTCCTTTCGATTCACCTCTCCGCTGTACCAAAGAGCAACGATCTGAGTCAGTGTCGCTCCACGAAGCTAGATTTTTCACCGAGTCATCGAGCCGTCGAATCACTGAGTCGCCGAGTAAAAAAAAAACTCAACCGAGTTGACTCAGTGACCGAGTTGACTCGGGATCTGAGGAGAGAATTTTTTACCTTTTGCTGAGGAGAAATGATTTGGTAGAAAACAATGTCTAGGAAGCAGACTTATTTATACCCGGAGAATTTTGAGAAATCTCCTTGTTTTTGGAAAAATTCCAAAAATCATTCAGCAAGGCTTCAAAACCCACTAACACAAAATACCATCAACCTCCTCAGTCTTCTAAGACAAAAAAAAAAAAAAACAAGTCCAGGAAAACACGCAAACATCGGCTCAACGCGGAATAACGAAAACTTCCCAAGTTCGATGACAAGACGTCCACGCCTGGCAACTTCGCAATCCAACACAACGATCTCAAACTTCAGCAACTTTTACCTCGGCATCATCATAACTCGATACTGCCAAGCTGGGGGGCTAACTGTAGGGGTCGGATTTTACCCCTATGAGATCGATATGGAGACGAGATCAACTCCACAACGTCTTGACGAAATCAAAGCAAGTCTACAAAGGCCCAATTTGAATCTAGGCCCAAAATGACATTAAACACATAAGCAAAATGGGCTTAATAGAATAATTGGCATAAATTAGATATATTGCTTAATGGCCAGACCCATTTTATTAGCTGGCCCATTTACCTATAAATTCTATATATAGCTCATTGTATTCACCCAAAAAGGGGATCGAGAATTCATTTGACAAACTCTTGTATTCTGAAACAGCTTTCTAACAAGTTAATAAAAACTCTCTTGAGATCTTCATGTTTGGTTGCTTTCCGTAGGACTTTACAAACCCTGAAGAGTTACCAAGATCGTAATTGTGAGATTCGACCGCCACAATTCTCTCCTCCATCATGTGTTTTAAGGAAACATTTGTCTTATCACAAATTATACACATTATATTCTAGCCATCATGTTCATATAGTCATCTCACATAAAGGG